TGATAGAAAAGAAATGGAATTTAAACTAGACTTTTGTTATTTTAAACAAAATTATTAAAAAGAAATTTGTCTATAGGGTATTAATTACATATTTACATTATTTATTTTTTGTTAAGCACTTTAGGAATTTAAAAATTTAATATCCAAAGTGAAAAGCAATATTGGGCATCCAAAATTTATTTAATATTAATTCAAATAAAAAAATTTATTTTGGACTTTGTTCGTCTTTTTTTCCTCCATTCTCATGTCTCTCCATTAATTTTGCTACGCTTTCCTGCATATATCCAATCTTCAATAGTACATTTTTTAAATTAATCTATCTTCAAGCATTACTTTTTTGCCTTCCTTTATTTTAATTTCCTGCAAGAAATACTAGATATTTCCTTGCTTAAATTTCTGGAGGCGGAGAAAGGCTAAAATGCAAAAAATACCTTTTATTTTTTTATTCTTTATGCCTTGATAAAAGTTACTTCCCCATTCTCTCCCTTTTCATTTATTTTTCCATCAATTACATAATAGCATTTTTATTTGGCACATTTAAATATTTTTGAATTTATTTGTCAGTTTTTTAGAAAAAATTATTAAAAAAATTTTTGTCTGGTTTTTAAACTTTTTTTTGTTTAAATTAACAAAAATATATTTATTCCAAGTTTTTCTCACTTTACGCCAAATTAATTTTCTTTTTTTTCAAAGATAGACTTTATTTTTAGTTGTCCCCAATGAGTATATTTATTTCTTCATTATTTTATTGTTTCAAAAACAAAACTAAATAAAATGAAATAAACTAAGAATGTACTTTTAGAAAAAAGGCTTTATTTTAATTGAACTTTTATTGAATTAAAAAAGTGATAAATATCAAGTCCAAAGTTTATTTTTATTAAGATTAAAAAATATTTTAAAATATTCATTCAAAAATAGAATTTCATCAAAATAAAATTATTATTAAAATTTAACAAAAAAAAGAGAGAAAATGGCACTTATTTATGCTTCAGCAGTCAATAGAAGAATGAATGCATTGCAGAAGAAAAATTCTGCGGATATAACTCCACATTCACACAATCAACATTCTGAATTATTTCAACACTGTAAACAACGTTCAAATGAAGATTCTGCTATACCAAATGTTTTTAATGTTTTGAATAATGATAATAATGGAGGGGGTGGAGGTGGAATTAATGAAAAGAAACAATATAGGTAAATAAATTAATTATTAAACTTTTCTGGGGTCAATATACATAGTTCGATGGAATTATATTTAAATTTAGTATTAAGTTTAAGGATTTAATATCAAATTTAAGGATTTTCTATTTAGCGATTCTTTATTAGCCATAATTTAATTTTAGAATTTATTATTTTAAATAATTTTTAATAATTAAATATCCTAATAAAAATTTTCTTTCTTTTAAATTTTTTAAATATAAATTTAGAAAAATGTCAAATGCAAAAAATAATACACATTCAAACCCTATAATTAATGGAACTAACGGAAGTGACGTTTTTGGGGGAAATGATGGGAGTAGTACAATAAAAACATCTACTAATACAAATAGTGGAGGAAGTACTAACTCTAATTGTAATAATAATAAAGCTGCAGCTCTTTTACAATTTCAACAGCAATTATTACTTCAACAACAACAACAAAATAATCAACAGAAAAAAGGGTTAATAAATAATTTTATGAAAAAATGAAAAGTTGAAAAGGATTTGGCTCTGAAAATATTTGAAAATCTTGAAAATTTTTTGGATTTTTTGGAGTGTCTAATTTTTATATCCACAATCATTATTATAAAAAATAATAATGATTGTGGATCATTATTATAAAAAATAATAATGATTGTGGAAAATATCAAAAATAATAATGATATTTTTCAAAAATTCATTGAGGACAATCAATTCCTTTAAATTTAAAGTACTCAAGCACGTGATCAATTAGCGGCATTATTTAATCGCCTCGTTGTTGATGATTCAACTCCACGTTCCCGTCCTCATCGTAAAATATCTACTCCCGTAATGGCACAAAGTATGACCGCATCTATGTATGGAAATATGAATGGAGAAAAAAGTGGAGGAAGAAGAAACAGCAAAAAAGTTTAGAGAAAAAATATTTTTTAAATAAATTTTTAAAATTTATTTTTTCTAGAGTAGTAAGCCGAATTCACCAATTAGTCCAAATAATGATTCAAAAGGACACTTTTTTGCAAAGTTTGGTAAAGCAATACGCCGCAGAAGCGTTAGTGCTGATGAATCTATGTTCCGTAAAGTAATCGAAGATTTTTTGAAAAAAATTTTTAAAAATAAAATTATTTTTTAGAGAGTTGGTACAGTTTCGTCGATAGATTCCTCTCAGGGAGGTGAAGAAAGTTTATCTCCAAATACCCGTTCAAGAAAGACTAGTGCTTTGAATCGAATGAAAGAACGTTTAAATAAATGGAAAATATCTGGATAAATTTAAATAAAAAATAATTAATGATCTCATTTACGGGAATTTAAAAGATAATTTTTAAAAATTATATATTTTTAGATGAAAATATTTTTTGTATTAAAAAAGGAAGGTATTCGAATTTTTGTTTGATTTTTAAACTTTATTTTAATGTGTATACTTTCATTCTTCAATTATTTAGTTAGAATTATACAATATATTTGTCAAATCTCCCGCTGGAATCGGTTATAATATGTGTTTACAAACACATATTTTTATGTTTAGAATTACAATTAATAATATTAAAATTACAAACATAACAGCTAATAGTAAGTATCTTACCCTTCTATTAAAAGCCGATTATAACGGGTTATGTATATATACTATATATTTTTATAAAATCTATATTTATGCTTTATCTACTCGATTAATCTAACGAGAAAAAATATTAACCCAGACTAATTAATCGAGTAAATTCGGTGTAAATACCTAACACATATTTTTCTTCCTTTCCCATTCCTTCATTATTTTCTTTTTCCTATTTTTGTTTGTAAAACAGAAATGTAATAAAATAAATTAGTTTATATTAAGGTTTATTAAATAAATATTTTTAAATTTTATTATTTTAAAAATACAAAATATTTTATTTAAACAATATCCCTCCAATTTAGTCCAATTTTTGATGTAAAGGAGAAACTTTCTTTCTTTTATTTCCTGAATATCCGCCCCAAGGGAAAATTATGGCATCAACAATGTGAAAAAAGAGTTTTTAGTTTTGTCGAAGCTTTTATCCACTTTAAAAAATTTTCTTGAATTTTTGAAGAATTTCTCTTATTATTTAACAAAAAAGAGAATGTGTTAAAGGACTAAAAAATAATTTTAATTTTAAATAAAAGAACAAAGGATTTTAAGCAAAAAATATATTTATGTAGTAGTAGACAATTAATTAATCAGTCTAATATTGATCATATACTTTCCCCTATTTTTATTTAATTTTTACTTTAAATTACACTAATAAATAAATTAAGTAACTAAAAAACAATTAAAAATTATTATAGAAATTTTACATATTTTTTAAAATTAATTTTAAATAATTCAAAATTAATTTCTCTTTAAATTCAATATCAACAAATTTTAAATTTTCATCATTTATTAATCGAGAATTACAAATTAGACTTTTTGGATGGCTTTTATTGGCAATTTGGATATCTGCTGTAATTTATATGACAAGATCTTTTTGGCTTGGAAATTTGGAAGAAGAGGAAGGAGAAAAGGAGGAGGAAGTAATAATAGTTACTACTAATAATTTAGAAATTAAAAGGAAAAATAAAATTAGAAAAAGTATTTAAAAATATAATTTATATATTTTTTAAATAAAAAAATATTTTGTAATTAAAGTAAATAAAATATTTATTTTATTAGAGATGCTCTTTGTATTTCTTATAATTAAATAAGATTTAAAAATAACAATAGAGCAACTCTAATAATCTCAATTTATTTTCGTTTCCCTCCAAAAGGATTTTTAGCAATACCCCCGCCCAAAGGATTATTTGAAGGATTTGTCATTTCGTGAGCAGTTCCGCTACTAAGTTCACTTGTTCGTCTATTTCCATAATTATTGTTATAATTAACAGAATCAACACCCGTTTGTTTTCTTTTTGAAACTTTTTTGTGTGCACGAGTTAACAAAAAGGTTAGGAACTTGAAAAAACAAAAAATTTTATTTTCAAAAATTTTTTAAATAAATTACTTGAACAATAGAAAGTGCAGATAGTCCCAACCAAACGCCAGTAGCCCCACCAATTTGAGATAAAAATTTAGTAAAAGACCAACGATCTTGTTGAATTAATCGAAGATATTCAAAAGCACCCCAACTTAAAGTTAACTGAACTTCCTCTAAAAATAAAGGAATTTTTCTTAAAATATTTTTTAAACAAATCACGTGGATGTAAAGCTGTTTTATGTGTAGTAGTTAATTCATATCTAGTTTGTGTACATTCTGGGGCACATTGATCTACACATTTATTGTCCCATTCCTTAACCTCTTTACTTTCTGTTGAATTACTTTAAAAATTAAAAAGTTAATCAAAAAATATATTCGAATATTTTACCCAATCTCGCATAGCCCGTAATCACATAACGGGTAATTATTCAATTCTTTAGGATCATAAACAAAATTTGAAAGTGAAGGTGCTGTACAATTACATAATTTCTATTTAATTTTTAATTAAAAATTAATTTTTTTTTAAATTAATTTACTCTTATTAATTCCATTCTACATCTTCTAAGGCAATCCAATTCTGAATTTGGACTATTTTCTTTTTGTTCGTATATTTGGCATCGTTGCTCTATTGGAGCGTCAGGGTCGGGTAAAATTGTTGTAATTGCTCTTATTTCTATTGTCGATTCAAAAGTATCTCCAATACATAACTTTTAAATAATTAATCTCTTTTAATTCTAAATCTCGATTAATACTTGATTAAAATATCCATCATTTGCACGTCCTTTTCCCATCATATAACGAGTCTCATCTGAGGGTCTTCCATGAACATCAACAGACATACAGTCAAGGTCGTCAACATTACCAAAATTGTAAACAATATTCATAACAAAGAAGGGATCCTAAAATAATTAGGATCTGGGTAAAATTTAGAAAGGGCTTCAAGAAAGTATAGCTAAGCGGTATCGGAATTTGGTATCGGTCGATATCGGGATTTATCTCTCGACTTGGATTCAAAAAATCGGTATAATGCAGCCCGATTCCGGTCGTGATCCTGATACCGCTTAACCTTATAAGAAGGTAAATTAGTGCCTGATCCGCAATTGGAACGAAAGAATTTGCATCAAAGTGTGGTTGGAAACAAAGTTGTCTTGTTGAAAGCCAAGTAATTTTGACATCATTTTTTATTTTCTTTTGTTCTTTGTTTACATCTAAACGTTCAAATCGATGTTGGGATCTTTTTTAAAATATAAAATAATTTTAAAATTTTGAGAAAACCTTCTTAAAGTTTCCCATCCAACTTTTTGTCTAAATTCATCAAAAGAAACATTTCTTTTAGCTATTTCATTTAACCATTTCTTTATTTAAATGTTAAAATTAAATTTAAATATTTTTTTTTATTTTTACTTTAATTCTTTCTCGAACTTCTTCCTTTACAGGATTTTTCCCCAAATTATTTATGGAATTAGAAGCCCCTTGTGAAGATAATTCTTGTTCAATTGTACCAAGAAGAGAGATAACCAAAAATTAAAATAATTATTTTAACTAAATTAATTAATTAATTAACTAAATAAGCATCCATAACCATTTTATAATCCCAATCATTATTAAGGAATGTTGCTGAATCTGCCATTTTAGCTAATCCTTCCTAAATATAATTAAATTAAATATATCTGTAATTTGTGTTTTTACTTCAGTAGCATTATATAGGTCTTGACTAGTTAGTCCCGTTTGATTAAAATGACTCCAAGCATTGTTTTTTGACATACAAAATGTTATGTTTGGCATTGTCATAGATGCATTGAAATCTTTAATTTATTTAAATAAATTTTTTCAACTATAAATTTTTAAATTTAATTTTAAAATTTCATTATTAAAGATAATGGATGAGGGAAAATTAGTAATTAATAATAAAGTAAAGCAGAGCTGAGCTATAACTGGGCTAAAGAGTAGCAGAGCTGGGCTAAAGAGTAATCGGCGGCTGGGAGCGAACCAGCATCTTCGGTAGACTGGACTGTGTTATCCATTACACCACTCCAAATAGCTATATGCTTTGCATTAAAAAAATATTTTTAAAATTTACTCATTTTCATATCAATTTCCTTGTTGTCTGTAAAGTAACATATAATCTTTAATTTTTAATTTAATTTAAATATTTAATTTTCCCAAACCAATTTCCGAACATCAATAATTGTTAATCCAAATAAAAATAACAAAAGAATATAAAAGGTTAATTGACGAAATCTATTATCTTTAAATAAACCCCCACAACAATTTTTTAAGAAAGAAGAGGCTTTTCTTCCATTATTTAAAGGACGGAGGCCGGGATTGTTGTTTTGAGTATTTTTTAGATAAACCATTTTTAAATTTCTTGTTAATTAATTTAAAATTAAGATTTTTTAAATTTTCATTAAGGAATTAATTCTTACAAATTTCCTCTATATACATACAATAAATAGTGATTGGTACCCAGAAAAAGAAAAAAACAGAATTTTGAAAAATGTTTAGATATGAGGTAAAGACTTAAAAATTTCTATACTCCCCCGTTTTTTTGCGTCTTACGAAAACGCAAAGGATCTCTCTCTCTTCACGTTCTGAATTCTAGTATTAGATTATTTTATGTATGTATATTTTGAGATATTTAAAATAAAATTTTAACAAAAATATATAAAAATTTAAAAGTTTTAAATTAAAAAGAAAAGTGAATCAAGTCAAAATCAATTCAAGCATAAATAATAAATAAAAACTTAAAAAGAGAGAGAAAGTTTAACTATTTTTTGTGACGTTCTTAAATAAATTTTTTTCATTTCTCGCGCATTTCTCTTTAAATTAAAAGGCCATAACTTTTTACATTAAAAAAATTAACAAAATAAATTTAAAAAACAATATCTTCATGTGATTGGCCAATTTTCTTTTTTTTGTTTAAATTAATTAATTTAGGTCAAATTTAGACAAAAAATGTTCTCTTCTATTAAATAATTTATTCTTAATAAAAATAACTGTTGATTTCAATTAAAAATAATTTGGCAAATAAGAATGGAATTAAAATTAACTTTTAATGTGAAGTTAACAATATTGAATTTAAAAAACTTGGGAAATATTTTATGATTTTTTGTAAACAATTTTTTTCTAAATGAGTAAATCTTTAGCTAAATCTGAAGACAAATTCTTTTGTGTCGATCAAAAAATTTATAAAGTTTGTTTTCGAGAAAATTTATATTTTAAATATACTAGATATTGTAATATCTGTGCCTGGAGAAAATTATATTTAAATTTGTTTACTACATAATTTATATCACAAATTTGTCTTATCCTTCATATTTGAATTTTACTTTTGTTTTACCTCTCATCATTTTATATTCATTTTATATTATTTATAATTTCCCATCTTTAAAAGTTCCTTTTATGTATTTAAATATCCGACAACAAACTGATTACTATCATCATTAAACTATGCCTTTTCAAAAACCCGACTTATTTTACAATTTTTAACCTCATTATACATATTATTATTTTGGGCTTATTCTAAATATATCTGAGAAAAGAATCTAATACATATAAGTATTGAGATAAGACCATATTGAGCTCTCTATAATTTAGTTTTCTATATTAAAGCTCGGACACAGCATATTTAAGAAGACTAATAAAAAAATGTTGGAGATAATGTAACGGCCACAAGAAAATTATGTATATCCCGTTCCTGCCTTATACTATAAATATTTCTAAACATAAACTTATTTATATTATTTATAGCATAATAATTTTTTATTTTACAAAGTTGGGTAAATAAAATTTTTAAATTAATTTTATTAAATATTTTTTCATTTATGTTGTCTTATCTAGAACTTTTGACTTTTTATACTTTATTTACAATTAATTATTTTGTCACATAGTTTATGCTCCAAAAGTAGAGAGTGAACAAATAATTTAATTCTTTTTATCAAAATTTAAAAATTCCATTATTTTTCAAAAAAGATTCAATAAATTAATCAAAAATTTATTTTTTTACCATTTAATTAGCTTTTTTGTTATCAATTTGTTTACATTTAAAATAAATTAAATAAAAGCAATAATACCTATTTAGATGCTTGGAACATTGTACTTTAATACTACAAATAAATACATATGTACATATACCTACAGATAAATATTTTTAATATTTATTATCACAAAAAATTATTTTAATTTAATATAATTAATTTGTAAAAATTTTTTTTAATAATATGTATTATTATGATCAACTATAAAATTTAATTTTCGGATATTCAAAATATCCAAATAAAATAATATTTAACTTCGGTTAAAAGTAATTTTAATATAATAAATTTCTGTAATAATTTTTTAACTGTGTATAAATTTAAATAACACGTGACAAAAAATTAATTACTAATAATTAATATATGTACATAATAATCTTTTGAGTGATAAAAGGAATGAACCAAAAATTGAAATATTTTGTTTAAACTATACTTTTTTTGTATCAAATTTTCTAAGGATTTACGTCACATAATACAAAGCTACACTATTTTTATTAACATTATTTGTTATCAGTTGTCAAAAGAAATAGGATTCTTGGTTTCTTTTGATTTAAAATTTCTTCTTTTGAAATTTTAGTATAACTTCTTTTAATTAAAATTCCTCTTTCTTGGAATTCTAATGTAAATTCAATTTAATTAAATTTTTAATTTTTATCCAACAAAATAAATTAATTTAAAGCTAAAACAATTTAAAAAATATTGGACGATTAAAAGTGAGAGAGAAGACTTTGATTTTTATTGTAAAAATATAAGAATGAACACAAAAAGGCTGTTTAGAGATTTATTTTATAACAGCAAAAAGGAGATGGAGTTTTTTGTGTAATAGCCATTTTTTTTATTATAAAATGGAAAGATGAAGAATAAATGGAAGAGGAACAATTTATGAGTAATTGAAAGGTTAAAAGGGAGCATTAGAAAAATGAATAATAAAATTAAAGATAAATGTTTAAATGTAAGGGGTTTTATGGGAAAATCAAATTTTTATAGATTTTTATCTTTAATTTACATTTTAATCTTCTTCGGTCTTTCGACGTTTTTTCTTCGACATGGCAATAGTCGAAACACTCCCCCTCTGAGAGTTATTTTGGTCATCGGGAGCATGAGCATTTTCAGGAGTGACCACTTGTTCCTCAAAAGAATTATTTTTTAGAAATATTTTTTGAATATTTTTTATCCGTTTATTAGGCATGTTAACAATTTTCCACAATTTATATAAAAAGAAAATTGTTTTATAAGTCCAGATTAGAATCCAAATTAGGCTAACAGTGAGGATCATTTTTTGTTTAAAATTCTCCCATATTTCGGTTAATGGCCAGAAGGTAAGTTTTTCGTTACTTATTTTAGCATCGAACTCATTATTATTGGAATTGTGTATATTTTCACTATTTTTGCTAATCCTAAATTCTTTAAAGGCTTGCATCATAATTTTTTCAGGATCATTTATTTTAGTTAAAACATGTCCTTTAAATGTTTGGCTATCCAGTATTGGAGCTTTATTCCATTTAGACCCTTTTGGGGTTTCTATAATGGATTGGGTTGAAACTTCGGATAAGGTGCCTTTCCTCTGATCTATCTTATAAATTGATCCGCGTATCAAAACTTTTTGAGTTTGATACTTAGTGCAGTCTCCAATTTCAGACTTTTCCTTTACTATTAATTTTTTCGGGTCTAGAAACAGATCGTTTTTATATTTTTCCATTTTAACCATAATTGGGAGGTCCTTAGTGCAATTGTTTTTATTTGCTCTAATTTTTATTTTTTCCCAATTTAATTCAATGCAAGGCCAAACCTCAATCCACGCTTCTGAAGATTTTGTATCTTCAGTGATCCATTCAGCTTCGATATAAGGAGTGCCAAATTTTTTCCGTGCGTAGGTTGTAGCATCTAAAGAAGTTATAAATTGCGGTTCAGCATTAATCTTACAAATTGTCTGAGCCAAATGATTATAAGCTCTTTTTAACAAAATCTCTGTTGTTAATCTTTGAGCTGTTTCACCAGCAGAGAATTGTGAAACTCGTACTGAACCATCTAAATTTAAATTTTCCAATTTATTTTTCAATTTATTTAAAGAACGTTTTTTCTTGTTTTTGACTTCTAAAAAATGTTCTTTGTAATCAACTACTTTGATAACATAGAGTTGATCAGATTTAACATATTCTTTTTCACAGTCAGTTATAGTTTCAGGTTTGGTGAAGCTTAAAGAAAAAGTGTTATCATTATTTAAGAACCACTTATCATACATGGTTCCTTTGAATGTATCCAATTTTATATAATTACATCTTTGATTCTCTTTTGGAGAATTCCAGATGAGTACAGAATTATCCTTTAACACACATTCGTTTTCAGAAAGTTTACAGTGTGCCAGTTCCAACATTGGATTTTCAATTGATTCCTGATTAGGAAAAAAGAAAATATTTATTTTTGTTAAAAAACAATTAATTACGGAAGCTTCTTTTCCGCCAGAAAAATATTCAAACTTTGGTTGAATTATATTTAATGTCCTTTTTGAATCATCAGCTCCAATTAAAAGATTGTTATTTGCATCTGAACATTTATTTAAATGTTTCATCTTCAAGCAGTCTTCTTTTGTGACTGCCAAATCGATTTTCTGAATAGGAGAAATAATTTTATAATTTAACCAGTTTGTATAATAGGTTAATTTTTCCATTACTTTTGTGCAGTGCCATCCCGAAATTGATTGAGTGGTATCTCGAGCTCTATAAACTTTCAGACTCACATCTTTTATCGTTTGTCTTT